TGGAACGCGGCAGGGGATGGGCCAGCCACAAGCTCCTCGGGCAAAGTCCCACTCCTCTGTCTCAGCCACAGAGCATGTCCCAGAGCCTTCATGGGCTGGGGATGCCCCGTGCTGCAGCACCCACAGCCCATGGAGTAAGCTGGGTGCTGGGGAGCCAGGGCTGCTGGCTGGTGCAGGAGTCCTTTGCACCAGCCTGGGTAACAGCCCCTCTGGGCTGCCTTCCCTCCTCTCCTCCTCACTCATCCCCATCTCCCACAGCCTGGAGGGGTTTCACCAGCTTTTCCAGACCAGAGGTGACCAAGACCCCCAGAGCTCCCCCAAAGGGGCTGCAGGACCCAGACATCCCTCCATAGGGCCAAGCTCGATCCTCATGGTAGAAGCTGATGCCCCAGAGTGCTCTCAAAAGCAGAATGAGGCCTGAGAGCCAGAGGCAGGACCCCCCCACTGGGGTGGGGACATCACCCTTCCAGCATCCCTCCAAATCATTCCAGCATCCCTCACCCAGCCCTGGCACAGGAATTAAATGACCATCCTTCATTATCCTAGTACTAGGCTGGGGATGCTGGGGACATCCAGCCCCTTGGAGGGGATTTTGCCAGTAGCTACAGGCAGGATGAAGGCTCAGATGTATTTTCCAGCCCCCATGGGTTCAAGCTGTGGGGTGTCAGAGCCTGCGGCCCCACCAGCATGCCCACATGGCTCTGCCCCACACTCACATGCGCGCAGCATTCCCAGGGCAGCACCACGTTTCCCCATTGCAACACGCTGCTTCCAGCCACTTGCGTCACGCTGCTGCTGGCACCAGGAGCGGGGGCAGCTGCTCACCCACAGCCTGGCCTGGCATCCACCGTGTCCTCATCCTTTCCCAATCCTCATCCTCTCCCAGCTCTTGGCTAACGTGGCACGTGGCAGCTGGAGCAAGGAGTGACACTGGGCAGCCCCAGCTTTGCCACCAGACAGGGCCACGGCTCTGTTCTCAGATGTGGAAAATAGGATGGAAACGCTTCCAAGTGGCCTCAGGGACGTTTCTGTCTACCCCTGTCCATGTCCCACCACCCTGCCTGGGCTGGGAACAGGAAAGGGACGCAAAGTCTCCCACACACTGCCCAAATCTGCCCTGGTGATTTGCAGGGAGCTGGTTGGATTTCCAGCCCATATGGGTGGAGGGAATAGGCACCCAAACAAGCCCATCCCCAAAGCAGCCCACTGTCCCACATCCAGTGGATTAAGCCCTACCAGAGTGGGATGTTTGGGAGCTCTTGGCCTTTTCTGAGTGGGGACACTTTTGGCTGGTGGAGAAGAGGCAAGAGCAGCTCCAGTGGTGCTGTGCTGACATCTCCTGGGGCACCGTCCAATTCAGCTGCAGAGGACAGGGCAGAACAACCCCCAACCCTTCTCCTCAGGACTCAAGACCCCATCCCTGTCCCCATCCCACAGTAGTATCCTGAGCAGGACTCAAGTGCAGGCATGGGGCAGCAGGGGCCAGAGGTGCCCAGAGATGGGCTGGAGCAGGAATTCCCCTGCACCCAAGAGTGCTGTAGCTGGGATCTGCTGCCATGCAGATGGGGTCAGCCATGGCTCTCCCATGTATGCGGTTGGGTGCAGGGGGAGCTGTGGGCGAAGGTGTCTCCACCCTGGGGTCAAGGCACCAGCCACTGTCCCAGTCACCCACCAGTGCTGGGTGGGATGAATTCTGGCTCCTGGAGCCCAGGGCTTCTGCCTCCTTCCTGCTGCAAGCTGGGACCTGTGAGTGGCTCTGGCTGCAGGTCCTTGGCAGCTCATCCATCAGGGAAGCCGAGCAGGAGCCTCAGCCACTGCCTCCTGCTTCCCCCATCCCCTGCTCAGCACCCAGCAGCACCCCAAGCCACCTTTTGGAGCCAGGACCACACCACATTCCAGCCCCTTCCCATGGCTGGAACCATGGGAAAGCTGCCCCTTCCAGCCCAAGCCCCTGACTGGGGTAAATCCCACCCACAAGGAGCTGGGTTTGCCCCAGTCTCTGGATGAGAAGTTCTCCTTTCCTCCAACAGCACAGCAAAGCAAGTCCATGCACCTCCCTAAAGCCTCGGTGGGGATGGTGGGCTCCATCCCTCAGGGAAAATAAAGCCAGCCTTGCCCTGCACATACCCCTGCTTCTGCTGGACTCGTCCCCACTTGGGACATCCATGCACCATATCTTGGCCTCAGATTGCAGTTGGTCCTGAGGGGTGCTGAACCAGCTCACATCCTCCACATGCCATTGCTGCAACGTGCCCGTGGCCATCAAGGGACACGGCAGGGGACAACCATGCCTGTGGCTCGGTGGGGTCACCCCAAATCTCCTGGCTGAGGTTTGAGGCCACTACTGGCTGGCCTCATGTGCTGCTGAAGGTGCAAAGCAAACAGAGCCATGCATGGCATCACATCATCGCTCCCTCTCAGACTTTTCTGGCTGGGATGGGCAATGTGGTCCCTGGGGCAGGAAGGGACCCTTGGAGTGGGAGGAATATAAAGTGGGAGTATCTGGAGTGAAGATCATGGCATGTTTGTGCAATGGAGGAAACCTCAGTACGGACTCGTTGCAGCAGCAAATCTCTGCTGGGGAGACCCCAGCACAGGTCCCATCCCCATGATGGGTGACAAACACTGACCACGATTGGGAAAAGTGGGAAATAACAATAATGTATTTTCTAGCCAGGTTCTGGCCTCTGGAAAGCACAAAAGGAAGTTACGCACTGCAGGAGGGAACCTGCAGCGGAAAAGTATCTCCCCATTCCCAGAACACTCTCACTGCCAGAGCCAGGTACTGACAGGGGCTGCTGGAGACATGGGGCAGGAACCCCGGTGCCCCCCACCTCCCTCTCCCACCCCTTTTAAGGGCAACATCTTCAACAGCTCCAAATTGCCTGTAATTACCCCGAGGAGGCGTCAAGAAGCCCCTCACGAGGGGCCGGCTCCACAATTACTGTAATTATGCCTCAATTCAGGGCAGCAATTGCGTGTCTGAAAACAGCAGCAGGTCCCACACAGGTGTTTGGGGAAGGGGGACACAGCCCCTGTTTCACTGCTCCCGTCGCCTCAGGGCTGTTTTCCCAAGAGATGGGAGCCTCCAAGGACAAGGACTGAAGTGTCTTCCCCCAGAGCAGGGGCAGAGCCCCAGAAGGCAGCGGCAGGTACGGAGGAGTGGTCGTTACAAGTGTACAGCTATTTAGGGGGGGGTGCATATAATAATGGACGGTATTTATAAATAAAACCAGTCTGGGGGGGTCTGGGGACCCCCCAGCCCCTCTCTGGGCACTCCCAGGGCTGCGACTGGAGGCCAAGTCCTGTCCCACCAGGATGGTCGCACCAAGGTGTTGTAGAGCTGTCTCACTTCGGCCCACGATGAAGCAAGTAATCCACAGGTTTCTGCAGACTGTGGCTGCCTTTCTCCTCCTCTTCCTCTTTCTCCATTTGCTGAGGTCCCCAAGGCTTCGCTGGGCTCCTCAGTCCCTTGGGGGGTGGCTGCAGAGCAACCCCCTCTCTGGTCCTCCCAGAGCCGGCAAGTGCTGGAGCCACGGCAGCATCACAGCATGGGGGCCCGGGGCATGATGTCCTGGGGGTGAGGCTGGTACCAGGCTCCAAAGCTGTTGATGTAGCTGCTGGAGGCCAGGGGGGGCCCTTTTCCTGGCACGGGGATGTCCCAGAGTGGGGGGATGTTGGGGGAGCAGGGAGAGACAGAGGCAGCATTATGGAGGTGCTCCCCATCGGGCACGCTCGAGCCCTGCTTCATGATCTTCTTGTACTTGGAGCGCTTGTTCTGGAACCAGATCTTGACCTGTGGGGGAGAGAGGTGTGAGTGGGGAGGAGAGGGTCTGTGGCC